ACTCTTTCTCCTAAGGAAAAAAAAATTAAAAACCTTCCATACTAGCCCATTTCAGAGACAACACAGCCAAAGTTGAAACATTCATTCTCCTGAAATATTCCATATACTCCTATTGAACTCTATACCTCAGCTTCTCCTAGATGAAAGAATTGTCTGCATTTGGACAACTGTACGAATGCCCATAGTGCACTTCTCAGTGCTGCTGGTGTTTAAGAAATTTGCCACTCACAACACTGAACAATTCCAAATCCAGTGTGCAGTAACACAGTCATCCAAACCCCTCCCCCCAAAAGTTGGCAGAGCACCGCTCAGGAATTTCACAGGTAAGGGAATATATTTTTAGCAAGTTAAGCATAGAGAAAGGACAGTAGTTTCTGAATAAATACAAACCCAGACACTGCATCACTTACTGCATCAAGATTGAAACAAGCAGCAGGATACTAAGTCTGTTCAGTATGAAGCAAAGCCATTGTTTGACACGTCAACTCTGAGCCAATTTTGTGAGTTCAGATAACTACAGGCAAATTAAACAAACGTGGTACATATGACAATCGATAGCTTGAAAGAAAATACATTAGCAATTTGAAATTAACACACAACTGAAATGAGGAAGGAAGGACCACTTTTTTTTAAAGGGCCACCATGATTTGTATGCTTTAAAGTTAAAAGGGACAGATATACAAACAAGGAAAAGAAATTCGGGGAGATTGTTTTAACAAAAGTAACTAGTAATAAGTGCCAAACTATGCCTTCAGAAAGCTGACTATACCATGCTACCATGCCAAAAGAGTCATATCACCTGGCATTTGCATACCCTTTTCATAATGTGGTTTATTTGATGACACACTTTTAAATCCAGTTTAATGTTACTCAGTTTATAGAATGTGTCATAAAAATTAATATTTAATAGGGAAAAAGTCCTTATGTGATATGCACTGAAGGTGAAAGTTATTTTACTTACAAATAGTCTGTTACTTAAATGTCATGATGCTGAACGAACATCTCAATATGCTTATTTTCCTGTGATTCCAAGAAAACCCAAGAGTAACCAAATTTATGCCAAAAGGAATTACTAATTAGGTTAATAAAGCTTGTTTTTCTTGTTATCTCCCTCTTTCTGGCTGCAGGAATTGCAATTTTCTAGAAAAATTTATATAAAGAAGGTATTTGGTTAAAACAATACATGTTCTCCTTTACCATCTTCCTGGGTTTGTCTGTCTTTCTTTTTCTTTCTTTCTTTCTTTGTATATTGTTTGGGACATCCTGCAACACAGACGTAAGGGTTAGATTCATTTTGTTCTTTTTTTCCTTAAGCCTTTAGGAGACACTTACAGAATAAAAATGTGCATATCATTCTATAAAATGAAAGATGTTCTTGGCATTCTGTTCTTAAACAGAGTAGAACTTTGGTAAATAAGCCAGGCTAGTGATGTACTAATTTACCTATGTTTGGATTTAAATTTGGTGATCATGATGCCATTACAAAATTATAAATCATCTAAAGCAACCATAAGCATAAATAATCCTCTTCTCTACAAATTCTAAAATTGAGTTTAAGCTCCTGGCTTATGAAAACAATTCTAACTTCTCTAGTTAATTTGTCTATCTACAATTCACAAAGCTCTATGAACATGATACAATTAAAAAGGAAAAAATAGGGTAGACAAATCTTTTTACACATTAGAAAGGTAATTATTTTTTTTAAGAGGAGGGGAGGTAAGAGAGAATACCTTACAAATGTGAGAATTCACATTTCTGTCAAAATATATGAATGAGTGACATTTTCAAAATGTGCCATAAAGTCTTCGTTTGCTATAAAACCATTATGGTAGCAAAAACAGATCATGTTTTCTGTGACTGAAGCTACTGATCAGTCAGCGTATTTTGCAAAGCTATTAAAATATCCCAGAAATTCAGAATATAAAAGCTCAGAATCAAGTAAGTATTGGGACACAGTCAATTTTTATCACTAGAAAATCTAGCCTTGAATTAGGAATGACCAAACCATGTGCCTACGGTTCCTTCTAAGATCATTTTAAATTTATTTTTCCTTGTGCTTTCTCTATTCCTTGCTATTTGATATTGGAGATACAGACAGCATTAGTAATTTTTAGAAACTCTTGGAAATACAAACACAAAGTTAAAATTTTACCCATTTACAATATATACTTAGGAGACAGAATTTAAAAACGGAACACAATACGTGTGCCCATGTTCCAGTTTTAAATGAGCCGCACCTTCCAATTCTTATATAATCTACAGAATCAAGTGATATGAGCCTTCGATACCTTTCCACTTTCTCCCTTGCTTCTTTTGATTAAATGTGTAACTCTGAAACACCAAAATATAGGGGCAAATAAGAAACAGGGCTTTACATTTCTGCAAACTACAAAACTAAAACACAGTGGCTTCTTTAATACATTCACACAGGATGCTTATTAGTAAAATTAAATACCTGCCTATGAAAATCCAAAAAGAAATTTGAAAAGAAAGAGATCGGAACAAGGCAAATGGGAGGGGGGGAAGCTGGTCTCAGAACCCATTGTGCCATACCTGACTTCAACATGTGATATTCAAACGAACATTCACACGCCTTACATCAAAGAAATGAAACAAAAATATTCAGCTATGTTGTACAAAATTTTTTTTTACATAAAACATCATAAATCTTGAACAGATTTATTATATCTGAATTCTAAAAAGTTGCCTATAGAATGGTGCTGGGATTCTGTTCTCTGCTTGCTTTTAGGCAGTGCTGTTGCTTAAAAGTTGACACCAGGCACAATATTTTAAAACAAAGTCAACAAGCAAGGAGCAGTAAGTGGATATGAGCCTTTCCCAGATGTCAGTCCTGAGGATGCTGCAATATTCCCCATCAAAATGTGTAAAGCTATGAGGCGGATACTGATGCCTGAGAGAGTGGGTGACTTGACATGCACTTGTATGACTTTATAATGGCAAACAGTGCAGTTTTCCCATCCCCAAACAACACTGTTTTTAATAAATTTAAAGAACACTCCAGTTCTTAGACAAATCAGAAATCATATGTAACAGATTAAAAAAAATATATCACCATCTAAAAATGCCCAAATTTTCTTTTATCATCAGATAAAATATGCAGCAGCCCAATGGCATAAAGCTTATTAACTTATTCTGAGAACTAGAAAATATATGAGCATATATATATACACACATATATATATTTATATATTTTGCTTTCATTAAATATATACCATGTCATTCACCTCTTCCTTTTGGCTTCTCATTGCCAAAGTTCCAAATGGCATGCGTTTTTAACAAGACAATGCTGAGGAGAGCAGCATTTCTGATCATCTGAATTGGCAGCTCAAAACAGATACCACTCCTTTTACAAAGGGAACAAAGGGCGAAGGGTATGTGAAATTTAGGCAGTGGGCTAAGGGAAAACCGTGCACATGAAGTCTGGGTTACCATGCCCCAAGTGTGTGTGCCACCCAAAACATAACACAATTACCTACTTCAACAGAGCTACTACCAACATTTACTGAAACCACATTAAAAATACACAGGATAATGAATGGTTTGAAAGAGTGCATTTGGAAGCAGAGAGAACCCAATTACACACCTTCCTGCAACAGAGTGCCTCGATCATACACAAAATAAACTTAAGCTGTTTACAATGTTTCCCAATTTTTTTTTTTATTTTTTCCCTCTACATTTAACTATTAAAAAAGTTTTTTTTTATTAATAAATGGGCTCCTCTGTGGTTCATATACAATCATAAGTGAACTTTAAATTCCATTTTATACAAACATCTCAAAAAATATTGGGAGTGAAGTATGGTAGGAAATATTGCTCACATTGCTAATTAACATGCGTATATGAAAGGAGGAAAATGTTTCATTAGTGCATATACCTCCAGAGCAGAAAATCCACCCAAACCAAAGATCTAAAATAAAACATACAGTAGCTGATTACAAAAAAAGGTAATGTCCACAAAATTAAGTTTTTCATGCTATTCTACTTTCCAGTACTATGCTTCAGGTAATCAATTTGCATGGCTAGATGTTGGATGCTTGAGGTATATAAGAAGGGATACCTGCATATTGAGAAAAATCTGTCATCCTAACGGTTGTTTCTTTTTGTTTATTCTGGTACTTTAACATTTTTAAAAGAATATTTTCTGTACATCAAACTTCACTGAACTACGATGACACTCCAATTTTAATAGATGACAAACAACGCCTCTATCACTAGGCACTTTTGAAAGGGAGTTTAGGTTTCACAGAACCCTTCTGATGTAGTCCCAGATATGATGTTACATCATCCCACCACCCTCCCACTAAAACTACCCTTCAGGAAAATGTTACCTTATATAATAGCCTGATTAATTTACTATGGAAGAAATTAGTATAAAATGACCAAAGGAAATGCATCATTTAAGACTAATAAAACAGCCTAAGATGTCAGGTTTGAAAGAGGAAACAAATTGTATATATTTAAAACTAATTAAATAATTTAAATTTGACCTGTACTTTATATATTAGTGAGACACAAATATAAGCTATTTTCTTTTAAAATTTCATTCACATAATGGAAAATTTGTTTATTAAAAATATCACATTTTGAGACTAGAAACAGTAAAGTGCATGAAAAGTTTAAAATATAAATTTCAGAAAACTCTTATAGCAGCAAAAAAGCAGAATAAAGAAAAACTTAAAAACACAGACACAACCTTTTCCTGTTACTGTGCCATAATTAACATCAAGTACCCAACCAATTTTCCCCCATAAAACCGGTATTACGGTCACTGCCTCTTGAGTTGCAGATTTTAAGCTGGCCCCTCCTGGGCAAAAAAGGATTCCAACATATCTAAAGGCATCAACAGTTGGAAATAAACCAGTAGCTTCTTAATTCAACCCTGACAGACAATGAAAACAAAGATTAAAAGCATTATGATGGCCATTTGGCAGCTAGAGTCAGGAAAAAATGATGGAAGGTTTTCAACTACTGCCCCAAATTTGTTCTTTACCTACCCCCACCAAATCCTTTCCATTATCACCTTTAAAAACAAACAAAAAAAAAACCAAAAAATCCAAAACCAACAGCCACTTAGCCTACTTTGGGAAACACATGAAATAGCTGTATGGCTTCCTTCCTCTGAAACTTCAATCAGGGCCTTTTTATTTATTAGCAGGTTTGTTTTTTTTTTAACATTTGACTGTAACAGCAAAAAATTACATAGATTACATCTGTTTTCCTAGCAAAACCGGATGGAAAAGAAAATAGGAATAATGAAAAAATACTAGACACTAATTTTGTGGGCATCTTAAACATAACAAATTCTATCTTCAATAGGTGTGGCAGTATAAATTACTTGCTGTTTCCCTATAAATAAATTGGAGAGACAGGCTTAGAATTAATATTTCTAATAAGGTTACCTACAAATAAATTGGAGAGACAGGCTTAGAATTAATATTTCTAATAAGGTTATTATTAATAGGGGGATCAAAAAATTATTTAAACCCACCAACCAGCCTTTGGCCAACAAACTGTCATGTGCTATTAAGTGCTTGATTCTTGAAAGCATATGGTGAAACCATCTTTAATTCCTTAAATGGCTAGAGACTATATCATAGTTTATGTATAGATCAAGCAAATTTAAGTGCTTTGTTAATGTGCAAACAACTTGGAGAACCAAAAAGAAATTCAAGAAGTTTTTCCTGCAAAGTATGTGATTTCTCAGTTTAAAATCTTGTATCAATAGTTTAAAAAAATTGTCTTCTACAAAAATGGTCGGCTCACTTGAGACCATTCAAAAGAAAGTATTTGTTTTGCAAAAACAAATACACTGTTGTCAGGCCTCAGATTGGTGATTTACCAGTTATGAATGCTGACTCCTAATATAAAATGAAGTAGGTCAAATTTAAAAACATCTTAAATTAAAATTTTGGAAAGAGAATAATACTTTGGTTCTAACCCTAGTGCCAAATGGTATCAATATGCACAAAAATGTACAAAGTCTTATAGCAAACATATAATGAAAAGAACCTGAAGAAGCAGCTTAAGGATGGCCATACTTCACTCCTACATACTTTGATTTACAACTGTACAGGTCCATAGCAACAGATCCCCGTCTTGCGGGGCAGTACTCCACTACCTCCGATTAGGCAAGTGAACACCATTGACAAGAGGCAGGAGTGGAGGGTGGAGTTCAAGTTGTGTTAACAGTGAGAAGTGGTCTGAAGGGATGTGAGGGTGTGGACACCCAGTGATGTTGTTCTCAACCAGCCATTGAGGATCTAAAGGCCCCAGGACACCAAGCACGTTCATATGAGTCTTGGAATAGAAAATGTAGTCAATCACGCCCTGCAAAGAGATTGGGGATTGGAAAAGAAGGAAAACACATACTTAGTAAAAAGAAGAAAAACACACACTTAGTAAAAATAAACAATAATCCATAATTTGGAAATGCCAAATAACTGAGTAACCTGCATTTCTGGTACCTATTGTCTTGAGAGTGAGACAAATAAGGCTCAAGACTACAGTGGATATTACATAAAATAAAGGTGGCTCAATAAAGAAACACAGCAGCTTATTAGGGTCAGAACGCCTTGCATTAGTGCTTAAGTGATAAAGTAAGAAGCTAAATACACCAGATGATGTCTATGTATGTACAGGATTGGCCTGTTTGGTTTAGTAAAAATCTAACATATCAGTACAAATATTAAGAAAACTAAACTACTAGTTATATTAAGTAGAAAATAAGAATACTTACATAAACATACAGTGAATAAAAAGGTATGACTCAAATTCTTTTAATAACTGACATTATTTTCAATTATCCAAACATACCTGAACAAAGCAATGGTAAATGCACATTTTTAGACTTGCTAAGCCTAGTTCAGCTTTCCCAGATTTGCTACATACAAAATACTACACGCAGTTAACTATTCTGTTTTTCAGTTTAAAATTATAAAATAGTAATTTTTCACAAACCCCAGTATACTAAATTCTGTATTTTCTTACTACAAAGGATACCTAAACAAAAATTATTCTGCAGACAACCATATCTATCAGTTGTATCTCTTAGACCTAGATGATTTCATTTTTCTGATCAATAAATCTCAAAATCAGTGTGCCTACTGTCCCAGGCTATGTATGCTAGAAAGCCAAGTTAAAATTTCTTCGTATCTAGTTCCTCTCCAAAATCAGGAGAGACTGAGGGCAAAAGGGAGAAACATTTCCACACCTGGAATTATTTACAAAAACTGTACATAATGTGTTCTAGCCAGTATTTTAAATGGAATCACAATAAAATGGGCTACAAAAAAAAAAAAAAAACTCTCTTAATTAAAGATATATTATATTGTGAAATTTTGGAAACAACTACTTCAGTCTGCTAATTTTCAAACGACCAAGACAAATATACCAAGTTCTTTTAAGACAGAATACCTTGTCCAATCTTACTTTACCACAAATTAAAGCACCTATTTGAGTCAAGAAAAGGATTTTTGCCACTAATATTCTAACTCCAAATACCTAACAAGATATTAGCCCTTAGTTTTGGTTAATGTCTAGTTTCACAGTGACTTTTTTTTTTTTTTTTTTGGAGAGGTTTTCGCTATAGGGCGCGTGCGCTCGCCAGACAGACAGAGACAGAGAGACAGAAAGCGAGAAATCACCCCCCAGGGGGATGGTCACGCTGCAATCCCTTCTCCTCCATTCTCCTCTTGGGATCTTGGGCACGCACGCACACGCGCCCGGCGTGAGTTTTAAGCCACCGGGTCCGGGACACGAACCGTGGTCGACTAAGTGGGAGTCCAGCGACATAGCCATTAGGCTAACTGCTGGTTCCCCACAGTGACATTTTAAGAAAAGGTTTAATGATCAAGGTAGTTTTATTTCTCATGAGGCCACCCTTTGTTTCAAGTATTAAAAAAAATCAAATGCAAATGAAATCTTACTTTCAAAAATTCCTGTATCTCATGATGCATTTTTTGCATAGAAAAACATATCGTGACTTCTGACAACCCAATAGTTCTATCCTTTTCTCCTCTCCCCTCCCCTTCCTTCCTCTCCCCTCCCCTCCTATATATACAAGCATTAGATACTCTCTGAACTAGGCATTTCTGGCTCTTTAACTGTACGTTTTAATATACTATTTGATACTTCAATAAGATGTCTATTCAATTATTAGTACATGCAAGATCTTTTTGAAGAAACAGAATTTTATACCCAATTTAATGACTGAGAAAGATGGTTTGGATTAATATCCCAAATTTTCTCTTATTTTGCCTTACAGACAAGGAACAGATAACCTTTAAAAACTTTTAGTATGGGGCCAGCAGGTGGTAGAATGGTTAAGGTGCTGGACTCCCACATGACTGTCCATGGTTTGAGTCCCAGATCCAGTGGCTTGAAACTCATGCAGGGTATGTGTACATGCATGCCCAAGATCCCAAGAGGAGAATGGAGAAGGGACTGCAGCATGGCCATGCACCCTGGGGGTGATTTCTCACTTTCTGTCTCAGTCTGTCTGGTGATTGCACACACCCTATAGCAAGTCTCTGAAAAAAAAAATCAAAATAAAAAAAAGTCTAGGGGAGGTAAAAATCATTTTTAAAACCTCCTTACCAACATGCATACAGAAACAACAATAAGAGTTGCAGGATTAGCAAAACTTATTTTTTAAGAACTTTATTATAGGTTTTCTGGGTTATGTTGGCAGATGTATTATATATCATTATAGCCACAGGATAGAATTTAATCTATAGTGTACCATTAAGTCTAGAAGTGTTCCTTTAAGCTTATGTAAGAGTAGTGGTATGCTAAAGTCAACTAATATCAGCTTTTTCAGTATCTCTTCCCAACTTGGCTTTCAATCATATCATGCTGAGAGTCTAGAATCCACTGCAATAGAAGTACTTAACTGACAGAATCTGTAAGCACTACAAATCATGGCTTCCTTTTTCCAGTACATCAATGCATACAAGTGACTTGAACAAAACTACGCAGCATGGATAGAATTATCTACTCCAACAGCAAAAATACTAAAAACCTGCTACTATTTTTTTTAAGTGCTTTTTTGTTATAAGGCATGTGTGCTCCTCAAAGAGAGACAGTGAGAAAAGTGAGAAATCACTACACAGGGAGCATGGCCATGCTGCAATCCCTTCTCCTCTATTATCCTCTTGGGATTTGGGGGGCGGCCACACACACACACACACACACACACACGACTGTTTTAATTTTCAAACCGTCTGGTCCTGGACTGAAATCACAGTCAGCTACAGGGGAGTCCAACACCTTAACCACCACACCACCTGCTGGCCCCTAAGAAACTCCTTCAAAGCAATTTTTTTTCCCACTTTAGAATTATAAAAGTTGATTTCTAATATCATCATACAAATTTTCTTTCTTTGTCCTCCTCTTTGTTTTTTAGAAAGGAAATCAACACGAAAAGGTAAAAAAGGTTACCTGGAAATGTGAAGGAGTCCATTTCATAACTTACTTTGGTATCTTCCTAAATTCCCTCCCTCTTAGCTTATTATACAAATGACCTTCTAACATCTGCATCTTTTTAAAGTATAGTATAAAATTTTAGTATAAATGCCTAAAATGCCAGAAAGTCAAATAGAGAGCTATGGAAAAAGTGCTTACAAAATTAGCCGTGGTAGTAATGGGTAGTAACGGGACTAACAAGTCATCACATCAATCTTTCTAAATAGCTGGTCTTGTACGATGGGTCCTCCAATTTTTATTTTGCAAAAAAAAAAAAAAGTTTCCTTTTTTAACCTGTTTCATTGTGTAGAAAATATTAGTACAAATTACATGAACATATCATAAATCTTAAGTAAACTTCCTCTAACTCCATTCCCAAAAGAAGCCTGGAAATGGATAAATAAGGTATCAGTAGGAAGTACTAAAAAACTTTTGATGGAATACTACATAAATTCATTCAAGATGTGTTCAGCTACAGTAGGCATTTATTTTTGGGGGCTGCTGAAAAATCACAGATGCTATGACATGTGAGGAGTAACATTACTAATATATACAAAGTACTTTAAACAGTGAGTGAATAGCACATCAGTAAGCATTTTAGAACTTAACAACATGTCTGAATTCTGAACAAATGAAAGCTTTAAAAAATTCTCAGGACAACAATAATAACCACAAAAACTAAGAGATCTCCTTAAACTTCAGGGCATATTTAGCCTTGACATTTCCATAATCTAAAACTCCTAAAGATTATATAATTAGTAAAGAATTTACACCTTTCTTGCCATATGCTTATATTTGAAATAATATCTACACCAGCAACTCACTTTGAAATCAAAGGTGTAATTGGTGTAAGGCATCAAGTTATTTTCATAGGCGCTCTTAAGTTGGAAGCCATGTGTGATTCTCCCTTCTGAGCTTCCATTCTTTCCATTGCAGCTGAAGTTCATAAGACACTCATTGTACCTTAGTTCCTTGAAGTCTTTATGGTTGTCAGCTACTCCTCCATTACTTAAATATTCCACAACACCTAGCAGAATAAAGGAAGGAACACTACAGTTAGCACTTAGTCCTTATATAAGACTTTATTGCCAACACCTGTTGCCAGGTGGTTGCACCAAGTTCATAGTAGTTTTATTGCTTGTGCTATATACTAAAAACAGTCATTTTATTGTTGAAAAAATATCAGCAATTTTACATGATTCAACTGAATATTTGCTTATTTCAGAACAAGTATTAGGATTACCCAGAAACAGCCTCGGTTTTTTAGTCGTTGTTTGGGCTAAAAATTATTTCTGGGATCTAATGTGGCATTCACCAGGAATGTCTTAACTCTAAATTTGGAATATTGGGACCAGCAGATGACGTGATGGCTACATCGCTGGACTCCCATGTAGTTGACAGCAGTTTGAGTCCCAGACTCAGTGGCTTAAACTCACACCAGGCACATGTACATGCGTGCCCAAGATCCCAGGAGGAGAATAGAGGAGAAGGGATTGCGGCGTGGCCATCCCCCCGGGGGATGATTTCTCGCTTTCTAAATCACTGTCTTTTTAATTCTGGTGAGCACACACACCCTAAGCAAAAACCTCTCCCCCCAAAAAAATATTATATTATTTTGGAATATTATTCCAAATCTTTCTCTTTAGCTTCTTTTCATTCTATGCAAACCAAAACAACTTTGAAAATATGTCATTATGGCAATACATAATAAAAAAATCATTTATGACGAAAACAGATTTCACATCTTCAATATCAAGGTCTAGGATCAGCTAGACGCTATAATTTTTTACCTTTGCCCAGGGTGAGTTTTTTTCAGTCTGACACTGTAAAGAATTTTATATGCTAGGGCTGGCCTGTGGCCAGGTGGCTGGGAGAGCCAGATTCCATATGGCTGACCATGCAGTTCAAATCTCGGACTTGATGGCCTGAAAACATGCCAAGACACGTGCCTACATGCATGCCACAAACCCGACAGGATATGAAAATTGAGAAGGGGACTGCAGGATGACCATGCCCCACTGGGAGATGCTTTCTCCCTCTCCTCTGTCTCTCTCTGGTGAGTGCATGTACTCTCAGACAAAATTTTCTTTTTTTTAATGTGATATGCCAGAGATACACAACTTGGCCAAAAATAATAAATGTGTCTAAAATGCTGCAGAGAGTAGTAGCATTTAAAAACACACACTACATCCACTGAATCAGCAAACATAAGTGTTGCAACCCTTATTATCATGATTAGTGAGCACTGTTAAGAGTCATTTCGTTCTACTTGTGATCTGGAATGATAGCAAGTTATAATGAATAAGTGATGAGCACAATACCAGTATTGTGAATAGCTCAAAAGGAGCTATCATTTATCTAGCATTTATTACATGCTAGGCACTGTTCTAAATGCTCTATACACTTCAACCTCACAAACAACTCAACAAGGTAGATAAAGTTATTATCCCCTTATTAAAAATGAGGATGTTAGTCATCGACTGCATAGTTCTTAAATGGCAGAATCAAGATCCAACATTGACAGACTGACTCCAGAGTCACTCACTGTACTGTGCTGCCAAATGACAATTAATGACCTTAAGCAAATCAAATGAAATAGGAGGAAACCTTGCACCTGACAGCAATTCAACTTAAAAAAAAAAAAAAGATTAAGAAAGAAGGATATGGTTCAGATGCCAGTTAGGCTAAGGGTTGAAGACAAACATCTGTAAACAATAATTTCATCATTTATTTGCTAAAGAGAAAAAAATGTTCTCCAGCTTTGCAACTTTATTCCAAGTACAGGCATTAGAGCTATATTTATTTTTAAGTGATGATTTTAAATAATTTTAATTAAATAGCCTAGTAATGGAAATACACAAAATTTAGAATATGCTTGGGTAATAGCAAAATAATACTATTGTAATGTTTTTTATTTGAAATTGAATATCTACAATGTAGACTTCTATAAAAATCTAAAATAACATATATTTGGACATGAAGTAGTTTAATGGAGCTCAATAAGAAACATGAAATTTTAAGAGAATTTTGATTCTTTACTTAACATCAGTATTCAAATACCATTTAATAAATTCACTTAAAAGTTCCCAAAGTTATTAAACTAGATAACTACCTACAATGAATATGTTCTGGTTGCTCCTTCAGATCACCCTTCTCCACTGCACTAGGAGCCTCAGGAGGCCGATCCTTATTGCATCAACTGCAAATTGCCTCCCTTAACTTCCACTTAGATTTGGTCAATGGGCAGCACTGGTAGATCAGAGGACAGGAACAGAGGGTAGAAGGGGTATATATTCCCCTGGCCCCATTCTTGCTCATCTACCAGAGACTGACTGCAACGTTCCATTGAAAGCCATTATTCCTATTATCTGACTTTCCCCTAACAACTATAACCAATTTTTCCAAGTTCTGATGACAGTTCCCATTACCTTTCCGCTTTAGGTATAGGGTGCTAAAGGGATCCTAACCACTTTGGTGGTAGAGTACTGCACCATTTATTGTTTGCTTCCTGTATCTTTGAAAATAACTTCTATATTAAACTTGTGTCAATGACCATGTCTCTTCTGTAAGATTTTCACTGATGTACTCCCCAATTCAGAAATTTCTCAAAAGTTAATATCTACATGGCCTTTGGACCAAAAGTAAAAGCAATGAGGAAACGTTATAAATACCTGAATCTGGCAATGAGTTAAGATCTGCACATAGCACCAGCGGGATGGAATTAGGATCTGCAGTTGGGCTGCCAGGCCTACTAGAGGCTTTCTCCAGAATGTTTTTAACCTCTGAGACAAACATCATGGTCTGGATGAGTTTCACATCAGAATACTCTGGGTCCCAATGCATGTGGGCATTTGCCACTATAAGCAGCTGTTTGTCTGCAGCATGAATAGGCTTCATACCTAAATTTAAATGTTACAAAAAGAAGATAAGGTTATGCTTTGTTTCAAGAAAGTGGTATCTTTAATCTTTTCTTTCTTTCTTTCTTTTTTTTTTTTTTTTTTGGTCAGAGGGTGCCTGCACTCATCAGTGAGAGATAGTGAGAGAAGAAAGCATCCCTCATGGGAAAGGGTCATGCCACAATTCCTTCTCTTCCATCTCTCCCTCCCTTCTGGATTCTGGGCATGTATATATATGTACCCATTATGTTTCTCAAGCCAGTGTGTCCAGGACTCAAACCACAGGTTGGTCATGTGGGATCTAGCTACCTTCACCACTAGGCAATAGAGCCAGCCTGAAGAGTGGTATTTTAGGGCCAGTGTTGTAGTGTTTAAGGCAGCTGGATCTCACATGGCCAACTGTGTGGTTTGAGTCACAAACCTGGCAGCTTGCAAATCACACCAGGTATGTGTGGGAGTGTGTGCATGTGTGCCCAATATCCAGAGGGGAAAGGACTGCAGTGTGGCCCTTTCCCCTTGGCGGTGATTTCTCACTTTCCTTCTCATTCTCTCTCTGTGGCAAGCACATGTGCCCTACGGTAGTAACTAAAGGAAAAAATGTGGTATTTTTAAGGTTCTCTCAAGAACATAGCCACTCTTAACTCATTTCTATGAACTTATACCTCTCATACCTTCCCTTTTATCTCATTAAGTAGTTCTTAGAAGCTAAAGGACTAAAATCTTGGTAATCCTGATATGAATATTACTCTTCTAGATCCAGTTGGCAAACTGTAGCCCATGGGCTAAATCTGGTCAACTACATGTTTTTAGGGAAGGTTTTACAAAGAAATGTAAACAAAAAAGGAAGACAAAAGTGGTGGTCCACAGAGCCTAGCCCTTTAAAGAAGTTTGCTGGCCCCAGCTCTCTATGCCCAAGTTAGGAATTATGCCACGATATAATCAACATCTGATTACAGTACCTTGCATTTGCTGAAGTTTTTATTTAAACAGCAATTTTAAATATCTCTGTCATTTTAACTATCACAATAACCTAGTGAGGCAGATTTTCAACGACTGGAGGTAACTAAATTTTAATTTAAATTCTTCCCATTACCTGGTACTCATTCACCTTGTATTTCAGCACAACAGGAATAGGTCAGTAGTAGAGGCAGTTTATTAGATCAGTATAACCTACTGTAACTATAACATTTATGCTAACCTATACTTCCTAAAATAAGGAAGTAAATTTTCAACTTGCCACCCAAATGAATTCATTGCTATTTGAAAATAAAGTTATTTTTAAAATAAGAATTAGGGAGTAGTATGCTCTCAAAGTCTAGACACTTAAGTCTTGTATCTGGTTCATTACTAGCTGTTTTGTGTGGTCCTGGGCCAGTTGTTTAACCTTTCTGGTGCTCAAGTTCATTTGAAAAACAAGATATTCAACTAGAAAATCTCTAAGGTTCCTTTTATCCTTAAAATTCTATGTTTTTTTTTTAATTCTATCAAAATAAATATTAACATGCTATTTTCCAAATGTGAACAAGGTAATCCATTAAAAATTAAGAAAATTAAGCCTAACAGGTTAGTTTAATGTAATGAGAGAGAAAGGTGTCCATAAAATACACAAGGCATGAAGCTTAGTGGGTGTGGTATGATATCATTCAAGTAAAACTATATACATATTCTGTTAGTATGTCTACAGAAAATGAACCAGAGCTATTCCTACAGAGTGTGAACAAGATGAGGAATTGCTCATTTTTTTCTTTGTTTACTTTGGAATGTCAGTGAACATACAAATTTTTCTATTGAAACTTCTATAGAAATATCTTTGAAATTTTTTTCTATTGAAATATAAAGTCTAGAGAAAAAGACCTAATTTTTTAGGTCTGTTATTTTGGAGATGTTAAGTTTCCTTTGAGCTGTAAGTATCTTTAATGTGAAGAAAACAAGTAACTGAAGAATCTGTTATATGGGACAGAAATAGTAATTGTCAAAGCAATTTAATCATAAGATAAATACCTGTAGCCAAAAATTTTCCAAGATGTCTTCTTTTCCTAGAAGCTTTAGTTTCACATTTCGATATAAATTATTCACTGTATTAAACACTAAAAATTTACTCCTTCAAAGGCACTATGAGCATTTTTTATATAATTAAATTCTCCTTCTAGTACAAGAGACACATAATTCAGAATGTGAAAGTCTATTGTATAATTGAAAATTATTCTTCTGCAAGTTAGGAGAGGAATACTCCAAAATAAATTTAGTTGTCACAGTATTAGAAAAAAACTGAACTTTTGAGACATATAGGACATAAAAATAGGTTTAAAAATACAGTAGAAATAATGAAAGTAAAAAAAAAAACCAACAGTAAAAATAAGTTAAAAACTCAAATTCTCATAAGAAGTAAGTTATCTTTATTATTATTATTATTTAATTTGCTATACAGTACATGAGCTTGCTAGAGAAAGAAAGGGAGAGAGAGACAGAAAGTGAGAAAGTACCCCTTGGGAGGGATGCCCACACCATAATCCCTTTTCCTCTACTCTCCTTTTGGGAGTTTGGACACACACACACATGTGCCTAAGTGTGTTTTTCAAGCTGCCGACTCCACGACTGGAACTGTGCAGTCAGCCACATGGGATCCGGCCACCTTAACCACCACACCATTTGACTGGTCCAGTACCAACTGTCTTGGTAATGAATAAACTGAAGAAAACTGGAGTTTGACATATATTGCATGGTCTCAATAATTCAAATCAACACTCAAGACAAAAATTTTTTCTTGACAAAAAGCAGAGGGGGGGAAAGTACTGATGTGATCTAACCAGCTTCTTCCTCTTACTTAAAATGTCCTAATAAACAATAGAATTCTTGAAGATGGGCAGCAGAAAAGGTAAAAAGGTCTGGATAATGCAAAGTACATAATGAGTTTCTGACTCTGAAGGAAGCTATAAATAATCTAAAATGCTGAAGAAAAGTACCGAGTAGATAAAGGCTCCAGCTCTTACCCTGACAATGACTGAGACATAACAAAGAAATTAGAGAAAATGTGCCAAGTAGTTAACCTTAAAGACAAAAGATCCATACTCAGGAAGCTAAAAATACGGCTCTAAAGAGGACCAAGTAATCATAAGTTCTAAATTCAGCCTAACTAAGACATTCCCTATTGCAAAGAATCTTTTGAATTAATGGCATGTTAAAATGACCGAACAGAGATTATGTGGTAAGTAAAAATGAGTATGTAGAGACTGTAGAATACTCCAGGAAATATATGATGCTTTACAAAATTAGTGCTATTTTCTTGCCAAACTCCCTTAATTTTCCTCAAAAGACAAGAAAAGAACTTTGCAATAAATAATAGCAAGATTCTCTTGTTTTGAGATGGGAAAACTTGGGATGGTGTTGGTAAGAATATTTTAAATTGTACTCACCTGCTCCAAATAACTCTTTGTGGACCTCTAATACCACAGCAACGCCAATATTATCTTTTGTCATCACTCTGTTCAGCATAGCTTCGGATCCATCTGAATTAGCCATTGCCACTTGGTTAAATTCCACTGTATGCTTCTGCACCAATGTAAATCTAAAAGGTACAATGCATTATTATTATGATTTTAGGTATTTGGACTATCATGCTAAAAGATACATTTAAATGAAGAGATATGAGGCACAAAAACTATTCATTGTCTCCATAATCATTTTCTAATTGCAAGTGGCCATATGATACAGTTCTTGCCAATGAGACATGGGAAGTCTGATTACTACCACAACTTTCTTGGAGGGGTATCTTGTGGCCTGGTGGTTAAGGGAGCTGGATCCCACATGGCTAACTGCACAGTCTGAATCCTCAACCCAGCAGTTCAAGAAACATTTTGGGATCAGCAGAGGGTGTAATGGTTACACTGCTGAATTCTCATATAGTTGACCATGGTTCTAATCCCAAGCAGCTTAAAAAATTAACACCAGGCGAATGTGCATACGTGCCCAAGATCCAGAAAGGAGAGTGGAAGAAAAGGAACTGCAGCATGGCCATTCTACCTGGGGGGTGATTTCTTACTCTCTGCCTCCCTCTCTCTCTCTCTGGCAAGTACATGTGCCCTATAGCAAAAATCCCCCCCCCGCCCCCCCCCCCAAAAAAAAAAGAAAAAGAAAAACATTCTGGGTCTGTGTACATGTGTGTCCAAAATCTTAACAGGATGGAGAAATGGAGGGGAAGGGATTATAGTGTGACCATACCCCATTAAGAGGTGCTTTCTCCCTCTTCCTTTCTCCCTGGCAAGTGCAAGCACACTCTAGCAAAAAAGCAAAACAAAAAGTCGTGTGTGGGATCAACAGTTGGTGTAATGGCTCTGTCGCGAGATTCCCATGTAGTTGACCACGGTTCGAGTCCCAGACCCAGTGGCTTAAACTCACTCAAGTGCATGTGTATATATGCCCAAGATCCCAAGAGGACAATGGAGGAGAAGGGATTGTGGCATGGTCATTCCCCTGGGGAGGTGATTTCTTACTTTCTGTCTTTCTGGTGAGCGCACACGCCCTATAGCAAAAACCTCTCCCTCCCAAAAAAGGCATATGTGTTTGTGTGTGTATACATGTGTGTATATGTATACACACACATACACACACCCTTTCACACTTTTGCTGCTTCTAGCTGGTACTTACAGGATCAGTAACCATCCTGTGCTCACACCATAAGAGGCAGGAAGGCAAAAGTCAATCTTATGAAGTTGGGGAACCAGCAGAACTAGTTCTGGACTGCCTATTTGTACACTTCTGTGTGAGAGAATATTACCCTTCCCCCATTTGTTTAAGCTACTGCTGAGATTTTTCTGGCATTTAAAGATACACACAATCTTAACTGAGTCAGCCAAGTTAATGAGAATAAATAATAAAACCTACGTACCCATTTTGCATTTTTATTCCCACCATATCAAGAGATTTGTCAAGAAAGAGGAGGGACACACCCTAAGCTGAGGAATAACAAATTTTTTTCCATTTGCCTTTAACTAGAAAGTTGCGACTGGATATAAATGTTCAGAGAAAGGTTCTATGATGTGAGGAAAAGTGTTCTTGTGGATACAGCTTCTGCACTGACAGTATTTTCTCTCCTTAGTGTCAAATTATTAAGTATTACAGAATTGTAGGATATAATAGAATTAGTTAGCATTTGCATTTAATAACAAAGTGACCTTGGCCAAGCTATTTAATCTCTTGCAGCCTAATTTTATTAATATGTGAAATATTTATAAATGATCAAAAAAAACTGCACTAATCACTAGGTGTTAAATGGAGAAGAAATATCTTTGCCTTCATAACAGACCCTCCCATTTTCCTCCTAGGTTTAAAGACAGAAGGATGTTCCCATCTCTTCAAAAACATTAACTGAAAGCACACTATGCCAGAGGGTGCTATGCTAGATGAAATAATACTCCCCTCCCTGATCCAATTCCAAATGTCTCATATGTGCTAAGAAGTAAAAAGGGTCAGGTCATGTGCCTATTTATAGCTCAGCATGCTTAATGGAGAACAGTTTCCATTCTCCACTCTAATGAAGTGATCTTTAAACTGAAACATGAAGGATGAGGAGTTATCAAAGGGAAGAACGGGATTAAAAGCATTCCAAACAGAAGGAAAAAAGCAAAGCCTTAAAACAAGCAAACAGTTTTATAAATTCACAGGCTAAAAAGAATAAAAAGGTATGAAATGATGTTAGAGATGGAGAAAGATGAATAACTAAAGGTTCTAAGCAAGGATGTGATATTATTTAAAACCACATATATATGTCTTATATTTAAAACAGATCAAATATCAAGTTAAAATAAATCAATCACTGAAAACCTTTTTGATGACTATAAATACTTAAAATAAGAAAGTATAAATAATTACAGTTTCATATCTGCCTGGGATCTAATTGATTTCTGTATTTTATTTTATTACAAAGTATTAATAAAATCCTGAATCACATATATGCACAGATATTAGTAAATAATTGGCCTTGCATTCCAGAAAGGTGGACAGACCAGACAGAAACTTGATTCAGAGGTTCATAACAAAGCCAGTCAATTAAGCAGCACACACATCAGGAACATGTTAATGATTTCCAAAGCATTAAACTTTGGTATTTGCAGGACCAGCAGATGGCATAATAGTTATGCTGCTAGACACAGAGTCAACCACAGTTCGAGTCCTGGACCTGGGAGCTTAAACTCAAGCTGAGCGCGTGTGCGCTCATGCCCAAAATCCCAAGAGGAAAATGGAGAAAGGACTGTCATGTGGTCATCCCTCCTGGGAGGTAATTTCTTGCTTTCGGTCTCTCTGTGTGTCTCTCTCTCACAAGCGCACATGTCCTATAGCAAAAAATGTCTCTTGAGAAAAAATTTTTTTTTGGTATTTGCAACATTTGAATGAACACATTAGTTTTTTTTTTTTTTTTTGAGAGGATTTTGCTATAGAGCGCATGAGCTCACCAGAAAGATGGAGGAATGGCCACGCCGGAATCCCTTCTTCTCCATTCTCCTCTTGGGATCTTGGGCACACATGCACACGTGCCCAGTGTGAGTTTAAGCCACCAGGTCCAGGAGTCCAGCAACATAGCCATTACTCCAACTGCTGTTCCCTGAACACGTTACTTTTACACTACAATTCAATTACTTGTACATAATTTTGGAGGTACTTTCTAAATAGTCACACTACTAAGGTTTATTTATAGGATTCTATAAATAAAAGCCTAAATATCCTGCTTAACAGTAAAATTTCAGCATAAGAATACATTTATTTCTACCAGAGTCTGTTTTGGGAAAGGAGACTGGTAAAGAGGCTAGTATTATAAGTATACGAAATGTCTTTCTTGGGACCAACAGATGGTGTAATGGTTATGTTACTGGACTCTCACTCTTGACCATGGTTTGAGTCCCAGACCTGGTGGCTTAAAACTCACACCGAGCATGTATGCATGCATGCCCAAAATCCCAAGAGGAGACTGAAGGAGAAGGGGCTGTGATGTGGCTATCACCCCTGGGGGGTGATTTCTCTTTTGACTCTGGTGTGTGCACGTTCCCTATAGCAAAAATCTCTCTCCTAAAAAAGAAAAAAGTGTCTGTATCTTTCGTCCATCTCTTCAATTAAATCTAGATCTCTTCTTTAAAGAAATATAGACTAAATCAATTTCTCTCCAATGTAACACCACTTTAAATATCTGACAACTGAGGCCCTCTGTAGAAAACAGTCAGTCAATTCCTGTATAATATACAGAGCTATACAGTTGTTAACCACATAATTCAAGTCCACTCAGAAGTACAGTACTTAGAACTAGGCATAAACAAAATACACTGTCTTCTTTTTTTATTATACTGGGTTGTTGGGAAAGTCATGATGCACTTTTGCATAGAAAAATATGCCATGCCTTTCCCGACAACCTAATATTTTTGTTAATAAAGACTAAAAACTGTAATTGCAGCTTGGGGATGACCACATTAATTATAAACCAAATAAGAATGTATCTAAAACTTTTTGGTTTTTTTCACTCTTAAGTCAGATCTTCTCAATTCTACATTCATATGTACCTAAAACCAAAATGTGGGCCAAACAGTTAAGCACTGCACAAAGGATGCCAGAACCACGGGACCAACCGGGGTTCAAGTCTTCATCCTAGTGATTTAAGAAACACTGGCACATGTGTGTGCCCAAGATCCTGACAGAATGGGGGAAATGGAGGAAAGGGGACCTCAGCGTGACCAGGTTCCATGGGGAGAGGGGTATGTGCATGCGCTCTTGCACGCAAGAACATACACACACACACACACTGGCATTAAAAAAAAAAAAGAAGATTCTAGGGCTGACTCTGCAGCACTGTGATTTGTACTATACACAGGAGGCCAGATCTCACAGGGCTGGCTAACCACGATTCGAGGTCCATGCCCAGCAGCTTGAAAAACACAACAGGCATGAACAGGCATGCCCCAACCTGACAGGATGGAGAAGACTGCATTCCACTGGGAAGTGATTTCTCTCTTTCCCCCCATCTTTTTCTCTGGCCAGTACATGTACCTTCTGGCAATAAAACGAAAAGAAAAAAAAAATCTTTGAACAAACTATTAAGTATCACTTTACCTATCTAGAAATTAAGGACTCTTTGAAACTTTATTCTATTTTTCTAATGATCCTAACTTTGGGGCACTTATAAGTGTTGTGTGTACACATTCTATGTTTGCTCAAATAATTAAAACTTCAACAGGGCAGAATAATAAAAAATAACCATAAAAGTTATTAATTATTGAGATCTCAATATTTTACTGTTTTCTAAAAATTCTTCTATATATTAGGGCCAGCAAGTGGCATGGTGGTAAAAGGCGCTGGACTCCCACATGGCCAACCACGGTTCAAGTCTCGGACCTGGTGGCTTGCTTTCTCACTTCCTCTCTCTCTATGTGTGTCTGTCTCTCTGATCAAACTGGAAAATAATAATGATAATAATAATAAATAAAGTTAAATAAAATAATTCTTATAAAAAAATTCTTCTATATATACTGAAACAAAAGGTCAAATAGGTATAAGAAAGACAGAACATATATAACGAAGACTGAAGAGCATGTCTAGAGCTGGTTACTGCATGCACCGAAAAGGTAGCTCAACTAAACTGAGATATGCTGTAATTACAAAATATATAACTGGATTTTGTAGTATGGAAAAAAATGTAAAATATTTCAAATTTTCATTTGTTTACATTTTGAAATGGTAATACTTCTGACACTGGGTTAAATAAAATACACTAATTAAAATTAATTTTCTCATTTTAATGTGAGTACTAGTACATTTTTTTTTAAGAGGGATTTTTGCTATGGGGTATGTATGCTCACCAGAGAGACAGAAGGAGACAGAGAGACAAAAAGCAAGAGCTCACCCCCCAGGGGGGATGGCCATGCCGCAATCCCTTCTCCTCCATTCTCCTCTTGGGATCTTAGGCACACATGCACATGCACCTAGTGTAAGTTTCAAGCCACCGGGCACAGGATTCAAACCACAGTTAGCTATTGGGAGTCCAGTGATGTAACCATTATATCATCTGCTGGTCCTTTACATTTTAATTTATATAAGACAGCAAAGCTCTAGAATTTCCCATGATACACTTCCCCAAAGTATATATGATACCTATAAAAACTGAACATGCTACTACTTTCTCCTCATGAAATTTTTTTGTGACTATAAGATAAGTTACCCAGGTAAAATTCAAGATGGGTATAGCATACTAGTGTAAAAAGAAGGTAACATAAGATGTCTTAAATGAGCTTGCTCTTCAGTACCTAGGATTTACGGAATACTCTGTAAAGTATATTTTGTAATACTATGTTTCTGGATATAAGTAGGGTAGATTTGGGTGCCAAATTGATGCTTAAAGTTATTAATTTATAGTGGCTATTTAAGTTTCTCACAAAATTTAAAGTCTTGCAGATTTTTATTTTTCTAAAATAAAGTGCTCTGTATATGTTAATTTACAGATGCTCAGAAAAAATATTTTCATGGGAAAAAAAAAAAAAAGAAGACTGGCCACAGTGACACGGCAGTAGTGAGCCACTGCAGAATCTTGGTTAGCTAAAAGGTTTGGAAGGGATCCTGGCATGGTTGGATTCTGTCAAGGATACCTGTCTCTCTCTCATAAAATAACGTTTTCCATTTTTTTTTTTTTTTAGAGAGAGGTTTTTGCTATAGGGTGCGTGCGCTCGCCAGACAGACAGAGAGAGACAGAGAGACAGAAAGTGAGAAATCACCCCCCAGGGGGGATGGCCATGCTGCAATCCCTTCTCCTCCAGTCTCCTCTTGGGATCTTGGGCACGCACGCACACACGCTCGGCGTGAGTTTTAAGCCACCGGGTCCGGGACACGAACCACAGTCAACTACGTGGGAGTCCAGCAACATAGACATTACGCTAACTGCTGGTCCCAATAACTTTTTCTTTTTTAAAGACAGATTTTTGCTATAGGGGTATGTGTTAGCCAGAGAGACAAGAGAGATAAAGTGAGAAACCACCCATCAGGGCGATAGCCATGCCACAATCTCTTCTCCTCTTGGGATTTTGGGGACACACACATACCCAGAGTGACTTTTGAGCCTCTAAGTCTGGGACTCAAACCATAGTCAGTCATGTGGAAGTCCAGCACCTTAGCCACTACGCCACTTGCTAGCTTCATAAACCTTTTTTTAAGAATTATGTCCTGGGACCAACAGTTGGCATAATGGCTATGTTGCTGCACTACCATGTAGTTGACTGTGGTTCAAGTCCCAGACCCAGTGGCTTAAACTCACTCCAGGAGCATGTGTGTGCATGTCCAAGATCCCAAGAGGAGAATGGAGGAGAAGGGATTGCGGCATGGCCATCTTCCCTGGGGGGTGATTTATCGCTTTCAGTCTCTGGCAAGCACACATGCCCTATAGCAAAACCTCTCCCAAAAAAAAGAATTATGTCCTATATTTTATTTATCATCATTGTCATTTTTACTTTGACCAGAGTAAGACACACAAACACACACACACACACACACACACACACACACACACACACAGAGAGAGAGAGAGAGAGAGAGAGAGAGAAAGCGAGAAAGCAAGTCGCCAGATTCAGGACTTGAACTGTGGTCAACCATGTGGGATGGCCAGTGCCTTTAACCACCACACCACCTGTCGCTCCCCACCCCATAAGCTTTTTAAAAAACTGGTTTAAAAAAGAATCAAACAAAAAATAAAAACTATTTCTATGTGATTTAAGCAAGATTAGGTTGAATGTTTCATACGAAGGAAGAAATGTCCAAAACAGTCCTTCAAACAAAGAAATAATTCATCTTCTTACAAGTTCGTCCTCCAAAAGTAAGTTTACAAAATGTGATGTGATTACAGTAACGTTAGAGAGAGGACAGTGAGTGTCATCTATCGACAACTGAATCAATAGTAAGAGTCCCTTCCCGAACAAACAAGGAACAACGTGTGGTATGTAGTCAAGAAGAAAATACAATCACACTAAAATTAACTCTGATCCACTCTGGATCAGATCCCAGCAGTCTTAAAAACAAACCAAACAGATGTTCTAACTGTTTACTCAGTATAAAATGCTGTAAAATGTGTTCTTAGGTCACTTTAAGTAATCATAGGAGTGCTAGAAAATAACTAACTGGGAAAGGTCAACATAAAGACAAATAAATAGGGAAGAAAACACCAACCTATACTTGTATTCTTTTAACCACTGAAAGCACTTACACATTCTTTATCATTTTTCCTTTATATTAGAAGCCTCTGAAATGGAGCAGGTATTATAATCTATATTTGAAAGGAAGGACACTGTGGCACAAAGCCCTATGTTTATGTTCCACATTGAACTAATGGAAAAATTAACATTAAAAACCCCAAATCCGAGTTCATTCTTTTTTAAAAAAAAAGAAAGTTATTATCATCATTTCTACTTACTGTTACCTACTCTGTACCATTGTTTCCCATGTGGGGTTAAACACTAATCAATAAAAATCAGGAATTATCATATACTATGGTTTTAAAAGAATACTACTTTGAGATGAGGGAGGACAGTCAAAAATACCTCTTTTACAGCTTTCTTTTGACTTCATTTTTAACAACATTTTTTAAAAAGAAAGATCATACAAGGTAACAATATACAAGTAAGGAAACAGGCCCAGAAAGGCTAAGTGACTCATTCAAGATTATACAGCTAAATAAACCGGGGAAATACTTGGCTTCAAAACTCATAGTCTTTCCTTTAAACTGTACTCTCTCTCCAATCTGAAGAAAAAATAATGCCAAGGTACTATACTTTGAATTAAATTCCAAGTAGTTTGGTATTGGATAGTTAACTAATAAGATGTGGATAAACATTTGGTATAGAGACAGAAGGTGGTTTTAGTTTACTATAGGCAGTATACTCCTATCATTCTAGGAAAAAAGTATAAAAGAGATGAAACGTAATAATGTATCACACTCAAAGTCTTCCTCTGCTTGTAGGTCAAAATTACTACTTAGGAAATAAAGCATTGAGAACAGAAAGAAAAACAGATGATACATCTAAATATTTCCTATATATTCATTCACAGTATTTTCAATAATTCAGTAACTTGCAAATGTGCAACATTTAGAGTTTCCTAAATAACAGTTAAAACTATTAATTAAAAATCTTAACTACTTCTAGCCAATTATCAAGAATTTTAGATTTATCTTCTCAGACTTGTAAGGGGAATGATAAAAGTCTTTTGTAGTATCTTGAAAATAACATGGCAAATGGAAAGAGAGCTTGATTTTAAATGCCTCAATAAACTTACAGCTTAATTCTTTTTTCCATGAACTTCTAAAATCCACTCATAGTGCTAACTTTAAGGGTATCATATTCTTTTTTTTTTACACCAAAACTAGTGTTTTACTTTATAAAAATATATTTTGAAATAATCATTTTATAAAAATATATTTTGAAATAATTATTAAGATATCATATTCAAGTCTAGGTCTCTTAAAATATTAATTTGGCAATAAAAAAATAAAGACTAATGCAACAGACATCCTTGTTCCTAACATACAACCTAGGAAATAAAACATTAACAACAGTTTTAACTTGTGTAACACTTGCATTCTATAACAGCTTTTCATTTATTTAATAAGGGTCAAACCAAAGAAAATTTTAAACGTGTAATAATTAAAAAAAAAAAAGTTTACACTATTGTGCTTTGTTTCCTCATCTTACTTTTCTGTTTTGAAGAATATTGCACAACCGTCCACATGCTTTCTCTCCTGCTCAGACATGATTTTGGCACGTGACTTTGGAGAAAAAAATCCATCATATCCACGCTCCTTCAATGCTGGCAGAAAGAGAGTGAAGTATTGCTCTGTTTCCACTTCCTGAGATGAAAAAAAAAAAAAATGTTATCACCTACATGACAGAGGAAAACTATGATTAAAATATGAACATGTTCAGCATTATGAATAAGCTGTGACTAAGTTAAAATACATACTACAAATATTATCTAACTATCTTACCTTACTGCTAGCAGCTACTATTTGACAATAGTAGCTTTTTGAACATTAAAGAACCAGAAAAATGTCATGATTTTCCCACACTCACAAAGCTGGCTGGTAACAGATATAGACTGCATCTCAGGTCTCTTGACTCCCAGTTTGGAGTTCATCCTACTATACTTTATTTCCATAAGACTGGTAATTAAGTAAGTGGAACATATGACAAATTAGGTGATAAAGAATAGTAAGTTTTATGTAAATGGTAATTGTAAAAATAATTTATCATTCTGTACTATGGTGGAAGCAAATGATATCCAAGAGTGAGAAATTTAAGAACAACAAAAAAATTCTGCTTTAAGAGATCTTTAGGTACCTGAGCCATATAACAACATGTTTGTTTGTTTGTTTTGCCATAGGGTGCGTGTGCTCACCAGAGAGAGACAGAGAAAAAATAAGTAAAAAAAATCACCCCCGAGGGAGGATGGCTACGCCACAGTCCCTCCTCCTCCACTCTCTTCCAGGGATTCTGGGTATGCACACACATGCACCCAGTGTGATTTTCAACCCACAAGGTCCAGGACTCAAACCACAGTTGGCAATGTGGAAATCCAAGCACCTTAACCACCACGCCACCTGCTGACTTTAAGAGTATGATTTTATAACAGCAAAAACTCATAAACAATTAAATCTCCAATAGTGGAAAAAGGGCTAAATCAATATATACTCATAAATAATTGGTTCTGAAGAATTTTAGTAACATGGAAAATGCTTTAAGTGCAATAAACAAAATATGCTGACAGCATGATTTCAATTTTATTCTGAATACATTATCTGTAAAAAAAAAAAAAAAAGATAAATAAATAAAAACAGAAGAAAATACTCCAGGAATTTTAAAAAGGTAACTATTTTTGGAATATAAAATTAGATATTTTCCTCCACCATGCTTTTTATGTTTTCAAATTTTCAACTTCTCTAGAATGAATCCTTTATAATACAGTATTACTTTTATAAGAAATAATTTTCTTAAGTTATGATGTTCTTACCCTTCAAGCTATACTGTACTTGGAAGGTATGAGGCTGTTAACACTGCAAATACTAAACCAAAAGGTGGACGACTGAGTTAACTATGACCTAATGTTTTCTGCCATCTCCTATCTCCAATTGTGTCAGTCTCAGTGTTAAGAAGAAATTTTAATTTTTGAAGATCTTAATTCTTGCTATTTTCCAGGCAGTATAAAAATAAACTGTAAAACTACTCTGTGTGTATGTGTTTCTGTGTGTGTGTGGTATATGTGTATACATATTTATTAACTGTAGTAAGTTTTCTTCTCAAGATATCCTGCAAACAACGTGTGAACTTACAAGATTTGAAATATTTTAAAATACCTTTAAGAAATGGTATTTGAAGTGATGGATATGTTAATTAGGCTGATTTGATCATTCCACAATGTGTACCTGTATCAAAACAGCATAATGCACCCTATAAATATATACATTATTTTGTCAATTAAAAATTTTTAAAAATATCTTTAAGCACTTACTAAGCTTTGAAGGTTGCTAAGTAATAAACTACTAAAAATTACTCATAAATCTTTTTGGCTAATCATTAACTAAATGTTGAGAAATGATAAAATGTATTTCATGAAAAGGTACTTCTTCTTTCAGTTAAGTTCATTATACTAAAGTGTTATGAAACGGAAAAGTCAAAATTTCCGAAGTGGTTCATGAAGTAAAATATGATTCATAGTAAGATATTTTAAAATGGTTACTTTTAAGGAACTATGGGTAAGCATTTTTTAAAAAATAGGTTAGATTATAAACTAATTTAATATTCCTGAAACATTGTTAACCTACAGTTCTTTCTTTCATCAATACCAGTGATTTGTTCATGAGTGAACGGTTAACATGGATAAACAGGTGACATTATTTTCACTTAAGAAGTAGTAAATGGACCAGCAGGTAGTATGGTGGTTAACGTGCTAGACTCCTATGGTTCGAGTCCTGGACCTGACGGCTTGTTTTCTCTCTTTCCTTCTTCTCCTCTGTGTCTGTCTTTGCTCAAACTAAAAATAATCATAACAATAATAAATTTAATAAATAATTCTTAGGGGGAAAAAATGAATGTAAATAGTTGGCTATACTCAGCAAAATAGTTTCACTGTGAAAATGCCTTAAATGCTGGGGCCAGCAGGTGGTGTGGTGGTTAAAGATGTTGGAGTCACACATGGCCAACCACACAGTTCGAGTCCTGGACCTGGCAGCTTGCTTTCTCCCTTTCTCTCTCTCTCATTGGTCAAATTAAAAAATAATAACAAATGGAAGCAAATAAATAAATAAATACTTTTTTAAAGATTGCCTTAAATGCTTATTAAAGTTGTCTTTTTTTAAAAAAAGAAGTGAAAATAATTCCTCTTGAGTTTCTCTTTAAACACAAGGTCTCTCCCAGAGATGAAATCTATTATTTTTAAGTTCACTTTTAAGTTAATTAAAATTGATTTAATTTTTATAGTGTTACCTGAAGACTAATGATATCTGCATCACAGTTAACAATTTCTTCCATAATTCCCTTTTTCCTGTATTCCCAGTTTAATGCCCAGGATGGGCAATAGCCATATAGCTGCCGGGTGGCGTATTTATCACATAACACATTGTAACACATAACCGTGAATGATGCTAAGAAGTGGGAGAAAAAAAAACAGACAAAACAGAGAACATTAGGCAACTTTTCCTAAAGCAATACTATAATACACCTGCACAAACACACATACACACCCTAAATATCATTACTATAAAGCCTATGGCAAGATTAATATTTTGTTAAACTATACCTACTAAAACTTCATTGCAGTCCATCATACCAAGATTTTTTACTAGTCTAGAATTAAACTAAGAGTTCGTATTTGAGACTTTTTTTTTTTTGAAGAGGTTTTTGCTATAGGGCGCATGCTCTCGCCAGACAGAGAGACAGAAAGCGAGAAATCACTTTGCCGGGGGGATGGCCACACCACAATCCCTTCTCCTCCATTCTCCTCTCGGGATCTTGGGCACGCACGCACATGTGCCCGGCGTGAGTTTTAAGCCACCGGGTCTGGGCTGTGAACCGCAGTTGACTACATGGGAGTCCAGCAACATAGCCATTACGCTAGTTGCTGGTCCCCATATTTGAGATTTTTAAATAAAGTTTTAATAATTAAAAAATTCAAGTTTTAAATTAGAAGGTTAATTTTTTGCATGTAATTTGTGGAGAAAAGCCTCTCTCTGTAAATGGAACAAAGGTAAACTGGTTTCCTTCCTAATTAAAGTTCTCTAGTTCATTAGTAATTCATTACTTTTTATTAACAAAATATCCATAATTAATGCTCTCTGAGGCCTTTTACTGCTCTCATTACTCTGATCCAGAAGAGTATGACCACAAAGTTTAGTTATAAGAGAACGTCTTTTTTTTTTCTTTTGGACAAATATTCTTTCCTGAAATAGCACTCTCATTTTAAAACATGTTTGAACCATAAAAGGTTTATGAACCAATAGAAAAAGGTGGTCTACATCACTGTTCTTCAAAAGTGTGTTTTAAGGACCAGCAGCATCAGTTATCGCCTGAATTCAGAAGTGCAGATCTGTAGCCCCACAAACACATACTGAACAGAACCTGCTTTTTAACAAAAATCATCAGATGACTGCAAATCCATACGCACTTTAAAGGCTTCAGAGTCCACATTTCTACCAGTAATTCTCTATTCTGGCTAATTAGAATCACTTTGTAGAGCTTAAAACAATTGCTGATACCAAGGGCCCAACTCTAGAGTAATTAAGTCAGAATGAGAGTCTGGGTATTCATAGTTTTAAAAAGCATGCCAGGTGACTATAATGGGCAGACGTAGTTGACAATCACTTATTTAAATAAAATATGAAGACTCCAAGGTGAACTGGCACTTGATTTAAGCTTGTTTGGTTTCAGCTGATGGGAAAAGGATTAAGAAAAATTCATTTCAGTGGTCCCTGTGGGTCTGACCGGTAGCTGCTTTGTACATGGGGGGCTATATTTCAATTTTAGTTAATATATAATGCTTGATTATTTTTCTGAGAAATGACCCAGAACAATTTTTAAAGCACTACATTGTGAAATGAGTATCCTGAATATATCTTACTCTGCTTCTCTGTGTTTGAAATGTCCTTTGGAAAGAAAAGTGGGAAAGATGCAAGAGGCTTAATTGTTTCAAGTCAGACTTTTTTTCTAAAACTCTGTGAAATGCAATTTTATAGAAAAAGTCAAAGGCGGGGGCCGGCAAGTGGCATGGTGGTTAAAGGCACTGGACTCCAACATGGCCAACCACAGTTCAAGTCTCGGACCTGAAAAAAGAAAGAAAAAGCCAAAGGCTGCAACATTTATAGTATATACAAACTATATATATTAATGCCAGTGCCTGAGAACAAACCAGTAATTTTTAAATAGAAGTGAAAATTAGCCAAGTCACTATTATCACTTCTATACTCCATTTCTAACTGGTAATTTTTCACTATTTTGGCTTGATTTCTACAAAGTTTATTGTTAGAGTTTTGGGCTACAAATCTGCCTTAACGATGATAACTTATTACTTACATCCTTTTACATACCAGTAAAAGGTATTTTTAGTAATATCTTCCTTTAGCACTCAGTTTCTACTCAGAAAAGCACCAAATATTCCAAGAAAAAAAAAATCTATCTAGTTTTTCTTTTCTTTTTTTATTGAAAGATTTTTGCCAGAGGGCACATGTGCTCCCCACGGAAAGACAGAGACACTGAGAGAGAAAGGAAGAAATCACCCCAGGAGGGTGGCCACTCCGCAACCCCTTTTACTTCATTCTGCTCCTGGGATTCTGGACACACACACACACACACGATTTTCAAGCCACCAGTTCCAGCACTTGAACACCATCAGCCATGTGGGAATACAACACCTTAATCACCAATAATGAAAAACCAAACATTTCTTTGAGAATTCAGAAACAAACTAAAACTTATTTCTGCTCTTTTTTTTAATGGCATACAGTCGTGTGATATTAGGAAACTTTTCTTCAAGTTACATCCATTCCTGTCCAAGAGAGAATTACTTTAAAGAACGAGAGGACAGATTTTTAAAAATTTGCATAGGGTGCATGTGCTTGCCAGAAAGAGAGAGAAAAATGAAAAATCACCCCCATTGGGGGGGTGACTACACCATAATCGATTTTCCTCCATTCTCTTCTTGCTATTTTGGGCATATAGGCACACACTCTCAGTATGTTTTTCAAGTCAATAGGTCTAGGACTCAAACTGTGCAGCCAGCCATGTGGGATCCAGCTATCTAAACCTCCATGCCATCTGCTGGCCTGAATACAGTTACTTTATTATTAGAAAGGAAATTATTTAGACTAGAAAAAGTATATCAGAAAGGAAATTTTATTATCAGAAAGGAAATGATTTATACTAGAAAAAGTCAAACAGGGGCTGGACGTTTAGCACAATGGTTATGCCCTGTGTATGAAGAACTGGATCCCACATGGCTGACCTGTGGTTTAAGTCCTGGCATGAGTGGGTTGAAAAGCATGCTGGGTTCATGTATACATGTGCTCAAAAATCCAGCTAGGGGGAACAGCAGTTAGCGTAATGGCTATGTCACTGGACTCCTACACAGTCGACTGCGGTTCGTGTCCTGGACTCGGTGGCTTAAACTCACGCCAGGTGCATGTGCGTGCGTGCCCAAGGTTCCGAGGGGAGAATGGAGGAGAAGGGACTGCGGCGTGGTCATCCCCCCTGAGGGATGATTTCTCGCTTTCTGTCTCTCTGTCTCTGTCTGTCTGGCGAGCACATGCGCCCTATAGCAAAAACCTCTTCCCCCAAAAAAAATAATCCAGCTAGGATTTGGAAATGGAGGAAAAGGATTATGCCATGACCACACACCACTAGGAGGTGCTTTCTCCCTCTCAAGCACTGTAGCAAACACATGAACCTTTTGGCACATACCCCCCCCCCCCAAAAAAAAAAACTAATATAAAATAAATCCACCTAACTTAAGGCTTTGTAGAAAATGTTAGGAATTCTTTTAACTTAGACGGTCAGTGTGTTTCCTCATAATAGATGTGTTATTCATAGTAATGCTGACACAGTCCCCTTTACAATTACCTGACACTATGGCCCTATTGTGCCATGATTTTCAACTTACCTCCTCTTAAGACATAAAAATGTATTGTGTGTTAAAATATTTCTCAGGGTTATTAAAATAAAAATAGAATTGTGAAAAAGTTATACTTCCCACATTCCCCAATACTAAAAAAATATTACTTGTTTTAAATATGCTTACCTCTAAACTTAAATTCTAACAGCGATTTACCCTTTAAAAATTATTAAAGTAATACTCAGTGATTTGTATAATTTTCATATTGAAAAGCTAAAATTTTCATTTATTTTTTTAATATTTATTAATTTTAAAATAAAATTAGATATCATTAAATTACTCTTGTGATTAAAAAAGACATCTGGAAAAACAATAATACATAACCCATAACTTATTTTAAGTAGAATTCACAACCCTAAAACATCTAATATATGATAAAGAACTCCTATGAATGTTAAACCATTACTGGTCCCTACAAAGAGGTGAAAAGTTTCTATGTTCTGCATTAGTAAAGTTCTAGAATTAGTAAAGTTGCTAAATTATATCCTTATACTGTTCACTCACCCTATACTATTTCTATACTCCTGAACTGGTATCATATATTGTTGCCAATATAGCAAATACATACCCAGTCTAAGTTATTTTCCCTACGTATTATCAGTCCACCTCTCAAGAAAGACAAAGTACCTAATTTAACCTTTTTCAGAAACAAATCCATTATTACTCATTTTTTTAAAAAATCACCTAATATCCTGTGTGAAGATGCTATTTAGAAACTTATATTACAAGAAATCATTTTAAAACCAAGAACTTCATTATTATTATTAGAGATATATAATTGTACATTGGCCTATCTTACTGTAGACTTTAAAAAAAAAATCTATTGGTTAGTTTTTTAAAACTCATCCACATGGGAGGTAAAAGGAAGCCCTGTTAATTACTGACCACTAACCCCAAAAGGCATTTTAAGGATTTCTAGGGAAAAAATCAAGGAATAATGAAAAAAGCTGTTTACCTGATGGCAGAATTTGGTCTCGTTCTTTTAATGTAATCCATGGCCTCGGAGGAAGCTGCTCTGGATGAACTGAAAAAAAAATTTTAAACATAAGTTAATTTTATGTGTCTCTAAAATCAGTATCACTTAATTTACAAATCAATAGTCAGCTGTAATGACCCATAAACTGACTTGAAAACCTAACACTGAATCCTAATGAGATTTAAGAGCCAAAGGAAATTTAACAAGAAGTATGCAGAGAACATATATCAAAAAAGGACATTAGGAAATTCACTAATGGCATTTTCACTTACATGGTTATGAAAAGTACCTATTTAGAACATTAAGTAAAAATCTTATCCTTAATTACATATGTAAATTGTGCTGACTCAGTCTTATTCCCTGCTGGGAAATAAAATGTATGTATTCCAACCTACTGATGAGTGAAAATACTCCAACATCTTTAAAACAAAACAAAATAAAAAAAATCAGGGGAAAAACAACTATGAATGTACAATAGAATTACTGAATCTTCCGGGACTAGCAGATGGTGTAATGGTTACGTTGCTGGATTCCCATGTAGTCAACCATGGTTCGAGTCCCAGACCCAGTGCTTAAAACTCATGCTAGGCGTGTGTCCAAACTCTGAAGAGGAAAGTGAAGGAGAAGGGAATGTGGCATGGCTAACCCCCTCCAGGGGTGACTTTTCACTTTTCTCTCTGGTTAGAGCACACACCCTATAGCAAAAACCTCTTTATTAAAGAGAAAAGAAGGAAGGAAGGAAGGAAGGAAGGAAGGAAGGAAGGAAGGAAGGAAGGAAGGAAGGAAAAGGAAAAGGAAAAGGAAAGGAAAGAGGGAGGGAGGAAGAAACAAACAAACGAACTGAATATTCCACTGGGGCTTTCATTTCTTGATCTTACTCTTTCTCTCATTTATAATGTCAATGCAAAGCAAAAAATAAGCATAGCAAAAATCTCTCTTAAAAAAAAAAAAGCCATACTGGGACCAGCAGTTAGCGTAATGGCTATGTCGCTGGACTCCCACGTAGTTGACCGCGGTTCGAGTCCCAGACCCACCCAGTGGTTTAAAACTCACGCCGGTCACATGTGCGTGCGTGCCCAAGATCCTGAGAGGAGAATGGCGGAGAAGGGATTGCGGTGTGGCCATCCCCCCTAGGGGGTGATTTCTCGCTTTCTATCTGTCTGGCGAGCGCACGCGCCTTATTGCAAAAACCTCTCCAAAAAAAAGAAAAAAATAAAAAAAAAAAAAATAAAATCCATACTAGGGACCAGCAGTTAGCATAATGGCTATGTCGCTGGACTCTGATGTAGTTGACCGCGGTTCGTGTCCCGCACCCAGTGGCTTAAAACTCACACCAGGAGCGTGTGCATATGTGCCCAAGATCCTGAGAGGAGAACAGAGGAGAAGGGATTGTGGTGTGGCCATCCCCATGGGGGGTGATTTCTCTCTTTCTGTCTCTCTGTCTCTCTGGTGAGCACATGAGCCTACAGCAAAAACTTCCCCATAAATAAATAAATAAATAAAAAGGGGGGAAAAAGCCATACTACACCTCAAAAAAATACACATATATAAAGTAGAAATTGTAATTTAAAATATAAAAAACAATTTTTAAAAAATAAGATAAGACAAGTACATGAAATATGCACATATGCACAATTTATATCTAAAACATATTAAGAATTCCTTGGGGCCAGCAGCTGGGGAAGTGGGTAAGGTGCTGGACTTCCGCATGGTCGACCACGGTTTGAATCCTGTACCTGGCAGCCTCAGAATCACATTGGGCGTGTGTGCACGTGTGCCCAAAGACCCAGGAGGAGAATGGAGAAAGAGGGACTGTGGCATGGCCATGCTCCTTGTCTTTTTCTTTGTCTCTCTCTTATAAGCATATATACCCTATGTCAAAAATTTTAAGCAAACAAACAAAAAAACCCTCCTTAAAAATCACACACACACACACACACACACACACACACACACACACACCCCACATGCTTGCCATGTGGTTAGGTCAACTGGCTCTATCAATACAGAAAAGAGATTTAATTCTTCGGGACTGGATTCTTTGTTTACTCCATGACAGAGAAGAAAGGGAGAGGCCAAGGAGAAAGACTTCCAACATGGTCTTCAAGACACAATCTACCCATAGCCAATGAAGACCAAGGCATACACAAGAGCTCCATATATATAGGGAGACCTTGGGCATGGTCCTGGAATCCTCCCATAAGGCTTGAACATCACAGTGAATTGTTACCACTGCATCACTGTGGATGGCCAATAAAGTCTAAGGTAATTAATTTTAAAGCAAAGTTAGAAATAGCATACACAGAGCACCCTTCAATAGTTCAGCTGGTAAAACAGGGGACTGTAAACTGGAAATAGCATACATATAAATAGCATAAACTTGGGACCAGCAGTTGGTGTTAATGACTATGTCACAAGACTCCCATGTAGTCGATCACGGTTCGAGTCCCAGATTCGGTGGCTTAAATTCACGCCAAGTATGTGTGCATGTGTGCCCAAGATCCCGAGAGGAGAATGGAGGAGAAGGGACTGTGGCATGGCCATCCCCCTGGGGAGTGATTTCTTGCTTTCTGTCTCTCTCTCTTTCTGGCGAAATGTGCACACCCTATAGCAAAAACATACATATACATGCATACATATACATGCATACATATATATATATATATATATTTTTTTTTTTAAATAGCATAATTTTAAACTCCACATATTCCTAATTTCTTACCAAAAAAAACCCTGTAATAAATCTGATTATTTCTCTTTGATCAATCAACCATTTTTGTTTTTACTTTCATTGCCAGAGGATGCATGTACTTGCCAGAGAGACAGGGAGAGGAGAAAGCACTCCTCATGGGGACTGATCATCCCAGTCTCTTCCTACTTCTTTCTGTTTTTTGGGCATATGTGCACACATGCCTGGTATTTCTCAAGTTGCTGGGCCTAGTGCTAGAACCACACCATCGGCCATGTGGGATACAGCTGACTTAGCCCTCCAGGCCAAGGAGTCAGCCCCAACATTTTGTCTGTTTAGCCAAATTTTCTTTTAGAAAATATTATTTACATTTTATCTTTTTGTAAGCATTATTTTGTATGTGAGTATGTTTTTGTGGGGAGGAGGATTGTCTTTAATGATGGAAAAAAATTTTAAAATGTATAGCCAAATATTATGATGATGGACTAAGTGTGAAACTCATAATTTCTCTAGCTCTGTTTTAGAATTCTGTATTTTAAGAATACATTATTCTGGGGTCAGCATGCAGGGTTAAGGTACTGGACTCCCACATAGTTGACCGCAGTTCAAGTCCTGGACCCCACAGCTTGAAACTCATGCTGCCCATGTGTGCACACATGCCCAAAATCATGAGAGAACAGGGGAGATGTGATTGTGGCATGGCCAGCCCCTGAGGGGTAATTTCTCACTTTCTATCTCTCTTGTCTCTGTATATCTCTCACACACCCTTATAGCAAAACAAAACAAAACAAAAACTCTCAAAAAAAAATCTAAATTTAGTAGTATTTCCATATTTTTAACCCATATTTTGAGTGCTTAAGCAATAAATAAAAGTTTTAAGTACCTATCAGCCTTCTTATACAAGTAACTTCCATTTGGAATATAACTCTTATAGGCTTAATAACTTAGTTGTTAATTAAAAGTTGCTTGCACAATTTCCACCAATGTGAGAGGAATCAAGAGTCATTTCAGGGGACCAGCAGTTAGCATAATGGCTATGTCGCTGGACTCCCATATAGTCGACCGCGGTTCGAGTCCCGGACCTGGTGGCTTAAACTCACGCTGGGCGCGTGTGCATGTGTGCACAAGATACCGAGAGGAGAATGGAGGAGAAGGGATTGCGGCGTGGCCATTCCCTCTGGAGGGTGATTTCCTGCTTTCTGTCTCTCTGTCTCTTTCTGTCTGTCTGGCAAGCGCACACGCCCTATAGCAAAAAATCCTCTCCGCCCCCCCCCAAAAAAAGTCATTTCATTCATGAAAAATGTTCAAAATGTGTGTTCTAAGTAATCTGTATCAAATTCAAACAATTAAAAACTGTATTTCTTTGTGGTTAAGAGAAAGACAATTAGGACCAGCAAGGCACTGGACTCCCACATGAATGACCATGGTTTGAATCCCAGATCTGGTGACTTGCTTTCTCACTCTATCGCTTTGTTGCTCTCTCGCTATCTCTTTCCTCTCTCTCTGGTGACCATGTGTGTCGTATAGTGAATTGAAAAAAAAATCATAATAAATAAACTTAAATGAAAAATTATTTAAAAGAAAAAAAGAGAAAGATAATTTAGGTTCATAACTCTTCCTTAATTATGTGTCAATTACTTTAGTCTGTGAGTCTCAGAATTTACATCTGTAAAACTTCTTACCTCCTCAGTTCTTAGAAAATTAAACAACACAGCTAAAGCTCCCAAGATATTTCTTATTTACTAGAAAGCACTCAATATAAGAAAAAAATATGTCCTACTACCATGAAATATATACTAACTGCAGGAACTCTAAACCTATAAACAGTTATAAAAATGGTCAGATGTTCTTGAGGAACATGTGATCCATTAGCTAGTGACATCTGCATACTTTACTGTTTTGTCAGTAGTTACCTGCAAGATTGTCAAGCATGAAGTTCAGTAGCTTTCGGGTTCCATCTGGGTCCTGGTATAAGTTGAGAATATCCTGTGATAAAGGATTGCCTAAAATAGAAGACAAAAATAAAACCTGTAAGACTTACAGTTACAAGACAGAAATGCACACTATAAAACAAAATATTCATTTTCTTAATCAAATTCTGCTAATTGTCATATAAACTGAGAGAAATTATACAAATTTAAGGAAATACTCTAACATACTGGGAAAAAAACTTCAGAAGATTTCTTTACCTATTTCAGTGTTTATACTTTGAACCTAAAATTTGGGCTGTCAAAAACACATATACACATGTAAACACATAAAAACCAATCTTGGGCAATTCTGAATAATGTCACAACCCAGCACCTGAACATAAGCATATAGGTTCTATATGAAAGATGTCATTGTAACTGAAACACAAACAGCCCTGTATGTCAAAGAATGAGTGGTATCGGGACAGCCTGTGGCATGGTGGTTAAGGCAGCTGTATACCACATGGCCAAACTACACAGTTCAAGTTCCAGGCCCCGCAGCATAAAAAACACACTGAGTAGGTGTGCATCCGTGTCCAAAATCCTGAAAGAAGGGAGAAATGGAGAAGGGAGTGTGGTATGACCATCCCCCATTGGGGTGGCTTTCTCACTTTCCTTATCCATCTCTTTCTCTTTCCAGTGACACACATGTTCTCTGGCAAAATCGATTTAAAAGTTATCATAAAGAAGGTGTCTTTGAAGTTAGAATGTTTATGTTACATACTGGAAAAAGGAAGATATTTCAAGTGAAAAGAAAATCTATAACCAAGATGAGTCAGTGAAATGTGAGCAGAAAAGAAGAACTTTTTAGTAACAGTGACCAGGAGTACAAAGAATATGGATTTAGCAAACATCAAAAACAATCTATGTGAATAGACTATGTAATCCCTTAAGTAATAAAGGCAGGCTGGCCCCATAGCAGAGCATTTAAGTGTTGTACATAAAAAGCTGGATCCCACAGAGCCAACCATGGTTCAAATCCTGGCCCTGGCAGACAGAAAAATAGTCTGGGCATACATGCATGTGTGCACAAACGTTCTGACACATGAGAAATCAAGAAAGGAGGATTACAGCATGACCTTTTGGGGGAATGCTTTCTCTTTCTCTCTCTGCCAATTGCATACACCCATTAGCAATTAAAAAAAGAAAGGATTGATTCATCAAGACAAGCATGCACATGGGGCCGACAGATGGCATGGTGGTTAAAGGCGCTGGATTCCCACATGGCTGACGATGGTTCGGGTCCTGGACCTGGTGGCTTGCTTTCAGGCTTTCCCTTTCTCTCTCTGCCTCTGTCTGATCAAATGAAATAATAATAATAATGACAAATGGAAATAAATAATTCTTTAAAAAAAAAAAAGACAAGCATGCACTAACAGCCTAATAGATTTAGGAAAAAAAAAAAAAAAAGCCAGAAAACTTATAAAAATTACGTTCTGTCAAAACAAACCCTTAATGCAACACACACTCACAATGGCTAAAATTTTTTTTAAGTAAACAATGAAGTGTTAGAAAAAATGTGGAATGTCTATAACTCTCAAATGTTACTGATAAAATGTAAAATGGTACAACCATGTTTAAAGTCTATTGGCAGATTCCAATCGACAGGAAGATGGGAGAAAGGAAGCCTCTTGGGGTAATGGAATTGCTCTTTTATCTTGGTCTACACAATGGCTATGCAGGAGTATATCTGTCAAAACCATACAAATTAGTAAAATTGGATACTTAAATATTTAGGTTTTTACTTTATGTGATTTTAACTCAAAGTAGTGGTGGAAAGAAAGAAATCTTGATGAATGAGTTAAGCAACAGACTAGTCAGGGCTGAAAAAGAAAACTCAGCGAATTAAAAAACTGTGTTCAGAGAAATTGCCCAAAATGTATCACTGAGACATAAAAAGACAGAAAACATGAAATTGTAAAAGATATGGAGGAAGGTTAGCCCTGTAATCTAGTGCTTAAGGGAGCTAGATCTCACATGGTTGACCATGATTTGAATCAGCCCTGGTGGCATGAAAAACATGCCAGGCACATGTAGATTGTGTCCCCAAATTCTGACAAGATGGAAATGGAGGAGAAATGCTTGCTTATGGGTGGACCACACTCCATTGGGGAATGCTTTCTCTCTCACTGTCTCTCTGGCAAGCATGCAAGCTCTCTGTTGTGTTTTTATTTTTTTTATTTATTTATTTATTTTTAAGATATGGAAGTTAGAATAAGAAAACTTAAAATACATGAAAATGGAATTCAAGAAAGAGAAAAGACAACTTCGGTTTCTCTTCCAACATGTAAAGAACTTGGAAGTTGTCACTCCTGTCTTCACAATTTAGGTCACAGGACAAAACGCTGCACACACAAATAAGCAGATACAAAGAATCACAGCTTCTAGAAAGCTGAAACCTAAAGCTGGGACTATGATCAGTAAAAACACTATAAACTTTAACTTACAAATTATTAGGGGCTCAAGGTGGATTAGTCTGAATTAAAAACTCACAGGGGATCCAGAATTAGGAGCCCCAACAGTATCTTTAAGTTTTACCTTCAGGAACCTCCACCAGGTTTTCACTACTCAGACTGGAGAAAAATCCCTTCATGAGTCCAGCAGAAAACATGAGAAATGCATATTCTCCCTAGTAAATCCTGCCCTCAAGAAAAACTATTTAGTTACCAGAGTCTAACTTTTATCAAAGACTAACAGAACAGAGAAAGAGAAGAGAAATACCTCACTCCAGCCCTCTCGAGCCTGTGATACAGGGAAGGAAGCCTCTTAGGGTAATGGAATTGTTCTTTTATTTTGGTCTACACAATGGCTACACAGGGGTATTATCTTTGTCAAAAACAGGACAAATTGGTAAAACTGGATACTTAAATATTTTGGTTGGGAAAACACCCAACTTAGCCTCACCGAAAGATTAAGACTAGCCCACTGTGGTGGTATTGTGGTAATGCACAATGTTGAGGCCATGTGGGAAGGTTTTAGGATAACATACCAAGATCTTCCTATACACAGCAGGCATGTGTGTCCATGATTTGGGCTGGGGTTGGTTTGCGGCATGAAGACCCTTTGGGGGTACATTTCCCTCTCCCTCCTCTCTTACTCATGGAAGAAATAAACTTAAGAAAATTTTTTAAAATATTAAAGCCTAATCATAGGACTACAGAATTCTTCTTCGTCCATACTTCACCACTTGTATCAACAGAGTTCCTGTATATAACAGGGGATTACAACTAAAAAAACTGCAAGCCTGAGAACCTATTTAGAAAAGATCTAGGAAACTCCAAAGACAACAGAAGAGATAAAACAACAACACTTAAGGAAATTTAAGTATCTGACACTATACCCACAAAAAACAGTAAACACATCATTTCTAGCCAGAAAGAGTGACTACAGAAAGAAAGAAGTATGAAGAGGTAACACCTGAAGAAGAAAAGGCTTCAATTTTCTAAAAGTGAATTTTTTTTTTTAGAAAAATTGTAAATTAATATAGGTAGCGATATATCCTATAATTGAGGGGAAAGGACCAATCACTTCAAAAGAATAAACAGGGGGCATGGTGGTTAAGGTGGACTCTCACATGGCTGACTGCGGTTTCAAGTCCTGGACCTGGTGGCTTGCTTTCTCACTTTTCCCCCCCCCCTCTCTCTCTCTCTCTCTCATCAAATTGAAAGGAAGGAAGGAAGGGA